GGGTCTCCTCGGAGACGTGGCACTCCAAGGAGTATTTCGGCCACGTCAAGAAAAGAGGTTCCAGGCGGCCCCAAATCCAAAAGGGAACGCTTCCGGGAGGCGAAGGAGGCCCGGAGAGGCAGGAAATGGGCAAGAGACGCTTTAGAATGGATGAAGAAGAGGGGGATGACACCTCAGAAGAAGAGGAGAAGAAGAAATACCACCGTGGAGGACACAGCAATGACGAGAAGTGGGAGGGAGAAGAGGGGAGACCTTCTGTGGCCAAGAGGGTGGCGGAGAAGGCCAGCGACGAGGAGACGGCTCAGTTTGAAGAGGAGAAGGGCCTCAAAAGCTCCAAGGCCAAAGCCCACCTCCACAAAGGGTGGAAGCCGTGGCAGGAAGAAGCGGAGGAGGAGGAGGAGGAAGAGGAGGAGAACCACAACAAGGGGAGACATGGCCACCACCGTCCATCAGTTGACTTGGACCTCGAGAAGAGAGATCGGAAGGATCCAGTGGATCTGAGAGGCAGGCACCCCGCTCCTGAGGAGGAGGAAGAGGAGGAGGAAGAAAGGGACACCCGGCAGAGGAAGGTTGGTATGAAGGAAGAGTCACTTTGAGGGCCTATCAGCTGGTTTGGGTTTGTTTTTGTTTTATTTCAAAAAAAGAAGGAAGAAGGGAGGAACAAAACAGGAAAATAAAAGGAGCTGGGAAGATTCAGGAGGAAGTGAAGATTTAGGCTCCTAAAAAGTATTTCTCCTCAGTAGGGATACTTACGGACAGGGTTGTCCAACCTTGGTGATTTTAAGACTTGTGGACTTCCAACTCCCAGAATTCTTGAACTCTGGGCATTGAAGTCCACCCATCTTTAAAAAGTTTACTAGCATCCTGGCCAGGGAATTCTGGGAGTTGAAGTCCACCCATCTTATAAGCTCATTAGCATGATGGCTGGGGGAATTCTGGGAATTGAAGTCTCTGGAGCCTCGGGAGGATGAAAACAGGCCCATTTTGGCATTTCCCGAAGGCCTGTTTTTTGGCCTCTGCAAAGATTTCCCTCGAGCCTCTGGTAGGCCATAAAAGGCCTCAAACGGGCCAAAAATCAGCTGGGAGGTGCGCGCGCATGCACAGTGCAGGTAAGGAGGCGGGGGGTGTTGTGTGTGCATGTGCAGGGCACATTGCTTTGTGGGTGCCGGCACGCACGTGCTTTTGGCACACCACAAGGTCTGCCATCCGTGCCCTAGAGAGTATTTTAACTTACTGCAACTTGTGTCTGGTTTGCCAATTGCACAAGGGCAGATAGGACAGCTCTCCAGTGGGTTAACCTCATTGCCCAGAGGATTATGGGTATAATATTTCATCCTGGGTATAACATTTGCCCAGAGGATCATATTTAATCTTTGGAAGAGCTTTAGAGCTCCTGCTGCCTTAAGAAAGTTCAAAACATCCTCAAAGATCCATCTCATCCGGGGCTCCCTTTTTTTGAACTATTACCACCTGGCAGACGGTACAGGACAATAATAAAAACAAGGACAAACAGGCTGAAAAACAGCTTCGATCCCAGGGCAGGAGCTCTTACTGGATTCAACTGTGTAGAGCAATATTAATGCAATATCAGGGGTTTTCGGTTCAATTGCATAGAATGTGAAGGAGGTGTGTTTGTGTTTTATTCTTTTGCATAGTTTTCTTGTGTATAGTGTACCCTGAAGACGGCATTTAATTTCGTTGTACGAGGTGCAGTGACACAATAAAGTATTAACTACTACTCCTACTTTCCCCTTTAGGTTCCAGAGGTGGAAAAACTGGAAGAGATTGAACGGGAGCTGAAGTGGGCTGTTGACAAGCTAGAAGAACTCAAGAAGGGTTAAATCCTGCGGCTGCCTCAGAAACCGGGGAGGGTAGGGGAAACCCCAGCTATCCTTTCTCTGTAGGACCCCTGTATTCAGCTTGGCTTTAGACTGTTAAACTAAGTTTTCCCCTCGCTTACGATGATAATAGAATACTTGTAGCTCAGGGTTGAACTGCGGAATCCTGGGTGCTCTCCGAGCGTGGAGGTTTTTCTTGGGAGACGTTTCGTGACTCAACTAGGGAACATCATCAGTGCTAAAGGGAGTGGGAGGAGGAGAACTGTGAGGTCCTTGGTGCTCTCTGAGCGTGGAGGTTTTCTTGCAGACGTTTCGTTACCCAGCTTGGTAACCTTGTCAGTGCTAGAAGGGAATGGGATTTGCTCTCTGTTTGCATTTAAGCGGTTTGCCCTGTCAGCGTTGGTGGAGCGTTGGAGGTTTCTTGTGAGGTCCTTGGGGTTGAGCGTGGAGGTTTTCTTGCAGACGTTTCATTACCCAGCTAGGTAAAGTCATCAATGCTAGAAGGGAGGAGGGGTTGGTCTCTTTGATAGTTCCTTGATAAGGTTAAAGGGATTTGGTAGGAGGAACTACCAGCTCAGACAACTAACTAACCAAAGAATGACCAAAACCACTCCCACCGACACCAAGAAGACAAGCCGCCCATATATAGACAGACAGCAAACACCTTCCCTTCTAGAACTGATGATACTACCTAGTTGGGTTATGAAATGTAAGAAAACCACCAAGCTGAGAGCGCCAAGGAGTACACAGACCTCTTCCTCCTCCTCTCCACATACTCCACTCTCTTTTAGCACTAATGTTATTATTACCTAGTTGGGTAATGAAACCAATCTCAGAGCGTATCCAGGACCCCACAAATATCCACCTGACTTGCATTTTGCCACAAAAAAGAGGGGATCCCTCAATCTGGCTACAGAAGACTGTTCTAGGAACATTTTGTTCCAAGCCTGTTTCCCCCTTGACTAACTAATCCTCAGATCTTTGCTTGTTATCCCACCCAGGATAGCTTTGATCACCTCCTAAGAGCTTAGCGCTACCCAGGTCTTTTATTCTGCATTTTCGATTGGCTGGTGGAACAAATTTGCATCCTTAAACTTTCCTACGTTGCAATTCCAGGAATGGTTGAATGGGGAACAAGGCTCTTTTTTCTGCTTTGCGCATCAAGGTTTAAAAGAAAAAAATATCGGTTTAATCAGTGTTTTTTTTTCACTTTGGGCAACTTGAAGCTGGGTGGGTTTTGACTCCCAGAATATCCCCAGCCACCCATTTGCAAGTTGCCAAGGGTGGGGTGTGGGTGTGTGTGTGTGGGGGGGGGGGAAAGCAGCAACTCTGGGTTAGAGAAACAGGCGCTCCCATAATCTTGAATTCCCACTCGTCAATAGAGGTGACGTGTGGCATCTCTGTACTTCGCTGTTGTAAGCTTGCCTTTTTCCTGACAACTGCTGCAGTCGTTCCACTGCACCGTTGCGTCAAATGTATTCTGAATCTGCACACACTGCAAATAAACCTAATTGCCTAAGGCGATGTGTGCCGTGTCTGTGTGTGAGCTAGTGGGGTTGTGTCCTCCAAGGCAGCTGTTCCGTTGTGGTCCGGCATCTGCTGAGTTCAGCTTTCTTCCTCCGGCTTATTTTGGAGGACAGATTTGCTTTTGGCTTCTGCTTTTATACACACCTTAGGAGGGATGCGTCCCTGCCTCCCATCAGAAGAGCTACTTTGGTCTAGGGGTGAAGGTGCCGGAAGGTGAAGGTGGGAGAGAGGAGTTCTAGTTCTGCCTTAGGCACGAAAGCTGGCTGGGTGACTTTGGACCAATGGCCAGGAAATTGTGAGTTCTAGCCCCCAGTTTAGGCTTGAAAGCTGGCTGGGTGACTTTAGGCCAATCACCAGGAGACGGTGAGTTCTAGTTTGGCCTTAAGCATGAA